CCACATTCCCCGGCATATGAACACTGGATAAGAGAAGTTATGTTTCATATTAATTTGGAAAATGTTAGATGTACTATTAAATGATCTGTTGAGAGATTTTGGGACAATTGGCAACCATTTATAACTTAAATTGAAATTATGTCAGAAGATTGTCAAAAATGACTGTCTAGTGTGTGCATTATGGAACACTGAGATGCTCAAAATTAAATAAATAAATCAAACATTATGAAATAAGAAAAAAATAGCTGAAAAACAGCATTATGAAATAAGTAACCCATGAAAAAGAGCATTATGAAATAAATAAGCCAGTTTTTTTTCTTATTTCATAATGTTTTATTTATTTATTTAATTTGGAGTATCTCTGTGTTCTAAAGTGCATGTCTTGTGTGGCTGATTTGGTGTGGGATGAGAGAGGATTTTGTTGTGGGGTTTTTTTTTTAAGTGTGTGTTGTGAAAAAAATAAAAATAAAAAATAAATAAAAAGACTTTGCTTGAAAAAAATCATTTTGTTGGTTTTTCTGGTTGAGTCTAAGTCTAAATGAGTCTAATATATGCAATCAATTTGATTTTCCGCTCATAAAAAAAACAAAAAACAAAAACATAAATATTGTGATTTCATCCTAAAATCCCTGACTTTGTAGCTATCTTAGCTTGGTTTGTTATTTATTATACTATGGCACATTTGTATTCCCTTAAATAAATGTATTTTTTGATTATTGTTCCTTGTACCGTACAATTTTTTGGTTTAATGCAGGCGGAAAAACCATGAAGATTGTCCCAAATCGCGATCCGTACTTCGGAATCAGGAAGTGTAGAGATACAACAATTCGAAGATAACAGATTAGTGACGGCGGTAAGATGAGCTGTTATTAGCTGAAAATGCGTAGTGTTAACATTTACTTTGGTGAATATGGGTTTATTTTATCCGAGTAACAGCTTATTACTTGATAATAACAGCAAACGTTAATAAAAAAACAGTGGTGGCTGTTGTTTTTAACGGTTGGTCAGAACGTCACAAATCGGTTAATTAGCTCCGACGGTAAATACTTTTACTTCCGAGCATTACAACCGTTTAATGCTGTTTGGTGGATTTTAAAGTACCAGTCGATTTTTTTTTCTTATTTTAGTTTTCATAAAACGTCTCTCTCGGAGCATATCTTGACCAGTTTTGGTACCATGGCCGAGACTTTACTAACGTTTCAGTCCCAACTTTCTGGTGTGATGGAAACCGTTTTCAAAGCTGCCATTTTTGAGATCACCCGGCTGGTGGAGGACAGCTTCGTGGAGGAGGTGATACGGTGCAGGGAGCAGGTTGAGTCCCTGGAGAGGCGGCTGAAGGCGGCGGAGAGCCGCCGGAAAGAAACGCCTGAAGCGGGGAAGGAGAGGTGTGCTGACTGCGGCAGAGTCTGTCCGTCCGGAGACAAAGACACGAGGACAGGTGGGACATGTCTCATGGCTGTTCAGCCTGTATTTTACTTATACTCAAGATTAGCTTTCACTGATTGCTCATGAAAAACATCGCACCATGTGCACTGCAGAATCTAAAATTTAAATATAATGACACACCCTGAATGATTATAAACATATTAGTATTTCTCTAGAAATCTAGGTAGACCTTTACTAAAATAAAAAAAGTCACCTATGCAATAGATCACTTATCTAATAATATCCTGATATATTTGTGGTCCTTCATGACAAAGTGAGAGCAGTGGTGTATACATTTTTGTAGTGGGTATACTGCGCTTAGAAACCAAAGTACACTGGTTAGTACAAATGTAATCGTCAATTTATTTAGATTTTTAAGCATATTGAACATTTCCAAATTTCTCTGATGCTCATATTTCAATAAATGTACAACAAACTGCACAACAGTTGGTTTTGTATTAAAAACATGTTATAGAATTTATAAAACGGTATCAAAGCAAAACATGTTCAAGTATTAAGTAGGAAGTACACGAGTATTAATTTATACAATAATTCGCTGGATAAGCGAATGTAATAAACAAGTGCTGTTGCGGAAGCGTTTAACTGCCGTTTAACGTATGAATGACACATGCCTAATGATATGGCATGTATCATTGGGCACATTTAAGTGGGTGTACTGAAGTTCAAGCTTTTATAGTGGGTATACTCTGTATGGCTGTGTATTACTTAGACTACACCACAGAGAGAGAGAGTAGTCAGGACAAGGTGTGATGTGTGTAGGAGTTACAGATGGGCTGCAGGTAGACAAGGGGTTACATCAGGGATCAGCTCCAAGCCTCATTTTTGTTTTCAGTGGTGATGGACAGGCAGACAAATTAAGAATAATGGGCTTTCTAAAAAAAACAAAGTCAAAAATATCTAACAATGCAAAAATAAAACCATTTAAATTTGGGAGACTGATGAAGTGAAGATTCAACGCAAGCTGCTGGCTTCATAATCGGTCCAACAAAGTTAAGTCAGGTCCTCTGGACTCTTTCTTTCATTCTTTTTTTTTTTTGGGAAATGTTTCTTCCTTCATCCAAAAGACTTCATCAGTCTGAGGAGCTACAACAAACTCGGTCCCACAAGCAGCACACTCACATAGTGGTCCAACCAGTTTCATGATAAGATGGTTTATGGCGTCTGCCCTCTCCCTCGTTAACTCCTCTGAGGCAGCCATGGCCAAAGTGGTTCAAAATAACAAAGTTCATTCTCACTAATCCAGGTAAGAAATCCAATGCCTCATAGGAGTTGATGGGGGAGAGGGCGGACTCTAGAAACCATCTTATCACCATCAAACTGGTTGGCCCACTATGTGAGTGTGCTGATTGTGGGACCAAGTTTATTGTGGCTCCTCGGCCTGATGAAGTGCTTTGGACGGTTTCTTTTTTTGTTGAAATGTTTCATCCTTCCTCCAGAGGACCCGACTTAACTTTGTTGGATTTTTTTTACCTGATTATTGAGCATGAACTTTGATGTTTTACTAATTGTTTTTTTTTTATGTATGTGAATGTTTTTGTACATTGCCCTGAAACAACTTCTGCTGTGACTTGGCACTATATAAATAAACTGAATTGAATTGAATTTAAAAATGTACTTAAGCAAAAAAAAAGTATTCTTACAAACAAATCCAAGAAAGCAGAAACGGCATGTTAGCAGGGAAACGGGTACGTTTATTCTTACGTGGCTTTCAGTTTGTGCAGTGTCAAACGATCTTCATAGACTAGAAATTTGTTTTCGGTAATTATGTGAAATAATGTTGGAATTTATTCAAGGGAATGCAGTAACGCTACAATAATCCCACAACAATGAACATCTAAGAATGTTTGGCTCAGGTTGTTTGTAACTCCACCTGGACCAGGTCGTAGATGTGCTGCTCACAATGGGAGTTTACAACAAAGTGAAGATGTGACGCAATCTGCCGGCTTCCTTAGTCATAGATAGATCATTTTTAATAACTGGCATTTCATTATAAATGTTTGAGATGACTTTCATTGTCAGTCTGTGCTATGTATAAAAAAAATTAATTGATGTGAATTCAGTATTGCCGACACTGTGCTGGTCCATTGTGGTGAAGAGGGAGCTGATATGCAAGCTTCTCTGTTTACTGTCCGACCTACATTTCTGCTCTCATCTATGTCCGTGGACTGTGGGTATCAAAGAACGAGATCCTGGATACAAGCGGTCAAAATTAGTTTTCTCTGCAGGATAGGAACACGGAGTAGAACCGCTGCTCTTCCACATCCAGAGGAGCCAGTTACAGTGCTTCTGGCATCTGGTAAGGATGCCCTCTGGACGTCTTCCTAGGGAGGTTTTCAGGGTCATGTCCAACCTGGAGGAGACACCTGGGAAGAACCAGGTCACACTGAAGAGACTATCTCTCTTGGCTGGCCTGGAAGGCCTTGGAGTCCCCTCAGAAGAGCTGGAGAATACAGCTGTGGGAAGGGATGTCTGAGCCTCCCTGCTTAAGCTGTGGAAAAAAATCTGGTAGCTGATACCTTTTAGGTCTTTGATATAATCCGAAATTTAAAATGTCAGCACTTAATCTAAGAATCAACCAAACGGATGTTTTGGTCAGCTTTTTTTATCTCCTGCATCTGCAGCTTTCAGTCACCTGGGCACAGATATCATATGGCATCAAGCTTTAGACAATCCATTTGAATAAATTAGAAAGTCACTGAAATATTGTACTTGTTTACCTCAGTACTTGTCCAGTTTTTACTTTTCTGCTTTAGTTTCTTTTAATAAAATGAAGAGATAATTATCTGACTCTTAAGTCAGTAAACTGCTTCGCCTGATGTTGGTGTGGACTGTTTCTTGTTTTGTGTTCCAGAAAAAAGCCTGAAACAGGAGAGAGTGCTGCCAGAAGAGGCTCAGAGTTCCCAGGACGCTGCTGGAGAGACACTAAGAGAGGAGACTGAAGAGGCAAATCCAAACACCAACAGCTCTACCAAAACAGCGCAGGTGGAAAAGTTATATTTAAAACTTTTTGGGATATACAAGATTGTGTAAAATCAGTGCTGTTCAAATTTACATTAACTAGTTCAAAGTTCAGTCCAGATTAAAATTAATTATTTTATGTTCATCATTTAACGATCTAGATTTGGTCAACTTCTTAGTCTGAAATTGTTGCTCATATAGTCATTTATCATGTTAGGGCTTTATCTGTCAGTGTGGAACTCCAGTTCATTCGAGGTAACATCACATATATAACCACTGTAAAATGCTGCTTTTATTAACGCACAATCTTCTTTCGGCTTGTCCCTCGCCACAGCGAGTCATCCTCCTCCATCTCACTCTGTCCTCACTCCAACTACCTCCATGTCCTCTCTAACTGCATCCATATGTCTCCTCTTTGTCTTTTTCCTGGCAGCTGCATTTCTAACATCCTTCTACCAATATGCCAACCGTCCCTCCTCTGGACATGTCCAAACCATCTCAGTCTGGCCTCTCTAACTTTATCTCCCAGTTGGTCAACCTGTGCTGTGCTCTGGCGATCTCATTTAATCTTTTGAAAAAACGTGTATGTTTGTTTTACTTCGGATGCCCTTCCTGACACAACCCTCACCATTTATCTTGGCTTTGGACAAGATATGCACTGGCTTGCCCTCCCAACAGGCAGATTAAATCAAGATCACAAAATAAAATCTTAAAATGCTCATAACCATATGATTAAAATATCACTTTAAATATTATAACACTTTTTAACCCAATCAAGCAATCCAATATGGTAGACGTTGCTTGGACAAGATTCAACACAAGCAGGACAAAACACTTAACAATATAAAATAAGACAGCCATATTAAGTCATTATAAAAACATAATAACTGGAACACTACACATAACATTTAGTCAAATTAATAAATTAATTCATTTGGATTGAAATCAAGTTCAGGTACGTTTTGAAACCCTTTGAAATATCAAATCTTTATCGTACTCATTAAATAATTACAGAGGAGATGCAATCTTTTCGAACACTCACTATCTAATAATGACAAAAAAAAATTAACATCTTCCACTATATCTTCTAGGTTTTTGGTGAATATGAGGATAAAACAGTTAGACTTCTCAAAGAGGAACCTGTTCAGAGTGTGGCAGAAGTCGGTGATCCGCAGAGGTGGAACATCGGCGCAGACGGTCAGTCTCCAAACAAGTGGCTACAGAAATAACTTTTATAAACGTTATTTTTTAAAGTTGCATGCAGGTATAATTTAATATAATACTATATTTAATATAAAAGTCTCTTGTAAATGAATCCTCGAGGCTCAATGGGATTAACCTGTCTCAATAAAGGTTGTTGAATGAAAAAATATCTTGTGAACTGAGAAATTGAAGAAAATGTGCAAGATAAATAAAACTGCTAATATCATAGTAATATGGCGACTGTGTCATTATGATGTACTTAAAATTTTGTGTTTCTCATGTCTCAGAAACAGATGCATCTGATCTCCATGGACCCAGTAAACATTTCAGTGATCAGAACACAAAGTCCCAAGTGAACTGGGAGCCTGGCTTTGACCAGAGACCAGAATCGAGCCAAGATGGACACTCCGGTGACTCCTCGGAACCTCCAGTCCAGAACAGGTTTAGCATCAATGATTTGGGTGGTTTTGACAAGACTGGACCTGGAGACAATCGTGCAATAGACATGGGTAACTTTGATGGCTTACAAGATTCCAAAATCCACATGGCTGCAGATCTCAGTTATGTGGACCCGTATGAAGAGGATGTGGAAGCACCTGAAGGAGCTGAGCACCACTGTTATCCAACAAACTCTCCACAGAATAGAAGAGCTGAGGAAAGTTCAGCAGCAAGATCACCTTTAAAGGCAAACTGCAATGGAAGTGGAGAATTGAGCTGTTTATTTATAGATGAGGAAGGGTATCTGCAGGACCTAAATGTCCGTTACGCTGATCAAGAGTCTGGGGATTCCGGCAGCAGGAGGAGTTTTTATGGCCAGGACGTTCGAGTCAACCCTTCTCTCGACACCACTGAGAACATGTACGGACCCTCAGAAACTTACAGCAACACCTTACATTTGGGAAACAGACTGCAGCATCAAACTGCAGACAGTGGAGGTGGGAGCCACATCCTTAATCAGTGCTTTCCCTCTTTACCTGATTCTGTTGCACTGAAAACCTACAAACAAATCCACAAAAGTACTGGATTAGGGTCCCCATATTCCAGCAACCAGTGTGGAAAAGCTTTTCCTCAAGCTTGTAATCCTAAAATTCCTTTGAGGATTCACTCAGGGCAGGGACTCCATTTCTGTAGCCACTGTGGTAAAGGCTTCTCTTCCTTCACAAACCTAAAAGCACACAAATGTGGGCAAGCAGGTGACAAACCTTATTGCTGCCCAGTCTGTGGGAACAAGTTCAGTCGCCTCTGGAATCTCAAGTTGCACCAAAGAATTCACACACAGGAAAAACCTCATCGCTGTGGTATGTGTGATAAGAGCTTCACGAGAGCGGATATACTGAAGGTCCACCAGCGCACCCACACGGGGGAAAGGCCGTACTGCTGCTCCATCTGTGGCCTGAGCTTCAAACGTCTGGATCATCTGAAGTCGCATCAACGCAAACACGTAACAAGCCTGTAAGACTGTTCTTGATGTCCTTTGGGATGTTAGGAGGTCCAAACATAAACATTGGTATTTATATTAGAAGAGGTTTTCAAAGTCTGAAACATTTTTATTTTCTAAATGTTATTTAATTTTTTTTTGTATATATGAAAAATGTATAAACGAACACTAGGCAGTAAGTTTTCATGTTTAATATGTTATCTTTGTACTTGATTTATTTGTAATAAAAATACACTGCGTTTGAGTAAAATGGAATAAAAGAACAATACTAATCTTGTGATTACTCAGCTTATTTAAAATAAAACTGGCTTGAGATGTCATTTTTTGCTTTGGTGTGTTTTTTCTAGCAGTGAACTCAGGACAAGAGGCCGTGTTATGTCAGGGACTGATGGCATGTTTGTTTTATGGCCCGTTTGACATATTTTATAAACTATTTTTGCCTAATTCAAATGGTGTAGATTCTCAATCATCCACAACATTCCTAAGAGTTGAAACAAAGACTATATTTCTTATTTATCAAAAAAATTTAATCTCATCCAAAATGCTTCTTAAATTCATCCTAAATCAAACATTTGGTATTGAGTGCAAATATTGTAATTTTGGATCTTCTAACATGGAATACAGTTAGTGTAATGTTTTCAGCCTTAACCCTCAAGTGCCACATTGTATGTTATCAGTTTGTTACAAGACCATGCAGAATTTTTTGACAAAATCTGAGATTTATTGTCAAATGGAAATAGTTGATCAGATGATCATTGTCTAGACTCACTATATACCGTTAGTAAAATTGCATATTCTGTAGAAATGATGCATTATAGATGCATTTTGAAGGCATTTTAGACAATTTCTCAAATGCTGTACTAATTATTTCTGTCTGTACCAAAGAAATCAGAAAGTTGACCTTTTACAAATGTCTCAACTTTCCACGTCCCACACCGGCATATTGCCCCTCCCTGAGTCATTTTGGGGTCCAACAGGGTCATGGTACCAACTTGACATCAGTTTTTTCAGTTGGATATTTTGAGATAGATGCACAATACTGTAGACATTCACACATGAACAAAATACAGCCCGAGGGTCCAGAAGTGGCCTGTGGACCATCAGCTAGCAGGTCGCCTCGGTTCAAATCCCGGCTGGGGGCCTTTCTGCGTGGAGTTTGCATGTTCTCTCTATGCATGCGTTTTCTCCGCATACTCTGGTTTCCTCCCACAGGCCAAAAACATGCATGTTAGGCTGATTGGTAACTGATTGCCCCTAGGTGTGAGTGAGAGAGTAAATGGTTGTTTGTATGTGTCCATGATGGACTGGATACCTGTCCAGGGTGTCCCCTGCTTCTCACACAGTGATGACTGGACATGGGCACCAGTGACCCCCACGACCTGACAAAAGGAAGAAGCGGGTAAAGAGAATGAAAGGATGGATGTTGTCCAGGCTTTTTAAATATCTTTAGAAAAATTCCTTTAAGTATTTCACTCATTTAATTTTTTTTAATTTTTATAATTAAAAGTAACGTTTCTTTTGTTTGGACGCTTATTGACTAGTTTTCATTCATTCAACCTTTATTTATACAGGTTAATCTCATTGAGCCTCGGGGACTCATTTACAAGAGACCTTAATTTTTAAAAGTGATGACAACAGTGGACAAAAACAATAGATAATCATAAAAGACGCGTACAAATACATTATTTTTTAACACTTTATGTATAAAAATTGTCATAACCGGAACTGTATTATTATCATCATCATAATTTATATAAGAGCTTGTCAGTTTAGTTGACAAAACATTAAAATTCCTTGGGAGTTCTTGTTGGTTTTGAAACAAACAAAAAAAATCGTTTTTTAAATTTTCTTCCACTGAGGCCACCGTACTACGTCCTCGATTACGTCACAAGCAAAAACAAGGGCTAAGTCGAGGAAATCAGTAACCGATCTCGATTTATTTACGTTTTAAAGTATTTACAAACAAACCCACGTTAGCCATATATTCACGTGAGACTGTCTTTTGGCGCATGCGCAGTACAGTTTGCTTATTACCGTCGTTAACTAGGCTTTTAAACGGATGCTAGCCTCAAGCTAGCTAGCTAGCTAACATTTCCACTTGTCTCAGGTCGGTGAAGATTAGTTTTAACATTTATCATTTAATTATTGTCTTGTTGCTAAACGCCAGGACAAACAAGACCGACACATTCGATGCGGTTTTGAACAGAGGCTGACTTCTAACTTCCAACAGGATGTTGAACAATGCTCCTTAGAGAAGTGAGTTTTTATAGCAGACAACGGAAGTCCGGTGTGTAACGGCGGCCAGCGACTGAGTCGATCATGTCGGATCTGGACACCGTGATTGTGACCTTTCAGACCCAGCTCTCTGATGTGATGGAGGCTGTGGTGAAGACGGCGATGTTTGAGGTCACCAGGCTGGTGGAGGACGTTCTCCTGGTGGAGGTGAGGCGCGGTAAGCAGGAGGTGGAGTCCCTGAGGCTGCAGCTGCAGAGGACCAGCTGCGATGGAGGACAGACCAGATGTGCTGGCTGTGCGAGGCTACACTCAGATCAGAGTACAGACACTACTGAAGTGGGGCCCCCAAACCTCCAGGATGGTAAGAATAAACATGTGGGTTTCAAAATGGGTCATAGGGTGACCCGTTTCAAAGCAGTGCATTGCTTTTCTTCTTGTTCCAGACATGAGGAGGTGTGATGTGGAGAATCCAAGTCAGATGTCAAACCACAAACAAAGCAAAGTAGCATCACCAAACCATCCACCAGCCATTCAGAGCTCCCACAGAGAATCACAGGTGAGTTGGAGCACCTGAGTGTGAATGCAGTCATGGTACAAATAAAACATCACTTTTATCCTAAAACTTTACCGGGACGCAACTAAAAATACTTGGGTCGATCAGTCTTAAAGTCTGATCAAATCAATAGAAGTGTACAACGTTTCTCACCATGTTATCCAGATAAAAAAATAAAGTCAAAATGCCAAAGTGGTGAGTTTCCATACATGTTTGAAGGTAAGTAGCAACCAGGTGCTGCAAATCAAATACACTGACTCACTGAATAACAGCACACATGAGCACCTGAGCAAAGCAGAAGTTGTGGGCAGTTTGCAAAATTCAGGTGTGCGTTCATACAACGCCAAGAAGCAAAGACCTCAGAAATGATCTCAGACATCAACTGCTGCTGCGAGTCCTCACAATATATAGCAAATGTATCATCACAGTATCAATAAGTGCCTATCAATGTTTATTGCAACAACATAAACAACAACATTGTATCAAGTTTTTCTAATATGCAAATCCATTTGCTGCTCATCAATATAAGAAGGGCCATAATGCCATTTTCAAGGATTTTGGAAGCATTATATAAAAACAGTGCAAAAATATTAATGGGAAATGTTTAAGACAATTTACGATCTCAGAAGTAAAAGTCTCAGCAATTTTTTTTTTTATGCTCAGGTCATGTAACACCAGGGAAAATATATATTTGTAAAACAGGAAAGCTTTGTAATATATTGATAAATACATTAAACTTCAAGTTATTGCTGCTATAGTTGGTTTTAAAATCTATTACATCTAAAAATAATAAAAAAAAACAGACCAAAGGTGCCCACATGAACCATTTGTTTTTAGGTTGTTCTGTGGTGAACGTTGGTACATTTATGTATTTATTTTTGTTTTCAGCACAATTTGAATTTCAGTGTTCACACCTCTAGTGATCAGCACTAACAGAAAAATTGAGTTTTAGCTGAAACAAACTCGTCAAGTGTGAACACCGCTCACAAATGTTGCTGACATAATGTATTTATGTGTTTTATGTCTTCCTCAGACAAGTGAAGAAGAGGATCTGATCCCAAGCATGGACATGAAAGAAGAAGTACAGATGCTATCGTGTTCTTCTCTGCATCTGAAAAGGTGGAGTAATACTCTGGATGGTGAGTCTGTGGTTATAAGAACTTGGTCGGATGGAGAACGTGTTTATTGTTTGAACTTAAAATTACTACAGTAATAAAAAGAATATGGTGATTTAATCTTGAGACTAAACAAATACCGGTACCGTAGCTAAACATTTAGGCAGTGTCTTGTATAAATGAATTATGAGGTTCCTACAGTTTCACTTCTGCATCCAACTTATTCCTAGACCCTATTCTGCCTTGCGTGAATTATGAGCGCCATTTCCGGCACGGACCAGAACCGGCGTTTGTCTGTGTGAACAGTACGAGCTAATGTAGTTTCTCTGAGCATTGTGGATTTAATTTAAACATGTAGGAGCACCAGCTTTCAGAGCTCAAACAGGACAATATAATTATACCGCTGCCTGCTGAGGACAAGCTGAAGAAGTGGATGCAGATTACATCTACTAGCATATTTAGCTACATCTACTAGCATATTTAGCTACTTCGTTGACTCGGTTCTTCCCACATTGAAGTGATGAACAACCTGAAAAGCTCTGAGGTGTATTAGTATGTACACAGTAATAAGGTGGGTGGTGTTTTGTTAAAAGAGGTGGGACAATCTTATTCACCTTAAATCAGACACAGAGCCCAAAGTCTTAAAGTCCTCCATCACTGAGCTCGAGTTAATTACAGAGAAAATCTGTGATCTCCATACACCTGAAATCAAACCTGATGTTCTCGTCACTGTTTTCAATCCCCCTGAGGATCCAGCGTCTCTTCTCCGGTGGTTTATTGTCGTCCAGACACAAAATAGGATGCAGGTTTTCCTCCGTCGGCCGTTTGCCAACAAAGTGAAATGAGCTCACATACAGAGTTTTGGGTGGTCTCTTCAAGTTCACATTTTTCAGCCACATTCTTCTTAATTCCTCCTCTGTAGGTAGGAGATGGAAACTTTACCTATTTTCTTTGTGTTTTGGGTCCGTGTTCAAACTCTGTTGTTGTAGCCACTGATTTAGTTTGGTCTGGTTGTTCTGCAGCCGCGAACACAACAGGTACCTGAACTCAGCACGGCTATTTTACTATGGTTGTTAAATAAATGTGAACAAAACAAAAAAACTTATGTAACCTAAATGGGTTATTATTGAATAATAGACTATCAGTCTAAATTGCAGTTCAGGTGTAAATATGTTTTAACTTTTCACTAGTAAAGTGTAAAAATCTAAAACTAATAAAGTAAAAAAAAATATGGGATCATAAGAATCATAAACGTGTGAAACCCAAACTAAATAATAAATAACCAACCAAAATACATATTTTTGGACAGTTCATTTTAACTAACCTTTTATCTGGTCATTAAATTATTGAGTTAACACGAACAAGGGAGGAAGCCACAGAGCTTTGTTTTAGTAACTAAAACAGCAATGAAGTGATAACTTAGTTTTGTTTAAATGATTTCAGGTGAAGACACATTCCAGTCAGAAAATGTAGCTGAGATGGTTGAAGCTCAACCTGCAACGACTCAACGAAACACTGAAGAATTATTAAAGAATCCCTTCAAAACAGACCCACAAACATCTACGGCTTGTGAATTTCCAGAGGATCAGACAGAAATGCTCATGACTACAGACCAGCCTAACGTTTCAGCTTTTGAACTGGACTCCAGTTGGGCTGGTCTGCCTGCTGCAGCAGCTGGACTTCTGCAGAATCACAGACTCAGTTCTGAAAAGGAATCGGATCCAGTGAAGGCTAAAGGTTTTGGAAAGCAGGCAGAACATGTGCGTGCTGACTCCGTCAGAGCCGAAGCTCAGTTCAACCCAAACAGAGATCGGCTTTCGTCCTCAGGATCCCCTCAAGCCAGATTGCAACCCAGCAACGCACTGGGCGTGACCGTCAAAGAGGAAGTTACCGATTCGCATGGATGTAAGGAGAGCGGGCACGCCGAGGAGGCAATTCAAGAAGCTGGAGCGCCGTCTTTCAGCTGTTCAGCACAGCAACGCAGCGGGAACTCTGAAGTCCAACAAACAAACCACATTTACCATAAAACCTCCATGCAGGAGGTCATGAAGCTGCATTCTAATAAGAGTAAGGTTCTCAGATTACAGGCAGCGATGCAACATCTGCACCGGCCGCTGAAAAAGCCGCCCCAAACACTCCCAAGTAGCCCCACAGCAGCACTGTCTACAGCCCACGCTCAGGTTGTAAATGTAAATCTGAACCGGACTTCCTCTTCAAATAAAACAGTTGCTGCTCCCCCTCTGTCAGTGCACCGTGTCCACCCCGGTGGCAAACACACTTCAAGTCTGATTCGAACTGGTGTCTCGTGGGCGGGCATGAAACCCCACCATCAGTCTGCTAACTGTGACAACCCCAACGTTTCCCAGCCCAGCTCTCAGCTCTACACCGGCTCCAGGCAGCTCCTGCGCTGCGGGCAGTGCGGCAAGTGCTTCCCCCACCCCAGCAACCTGAGAGCCCACCTGCAGACGCACACGGGCGAGCGGCCGTTCTGCTGTTCGCTCTGCGGTCGCAGCTTCACCAAGCTGAGCAACCTGAAAGCCCACCGCCGCGTCCACACAGGAGAGAGACCGTACTGCTGTTTGGCCTGCGGCAAACGCTTCACCCAAAAATGCAACTTAAAACGCCACCAGAGGATCCATCTGGACATGTGACGATCGTGAAGAGGAAAACTAAGACAAACTGCTGCAGAGTTTCCTTTGCAGTTCAGGACACGTTGTTGTGTGTTGCACAACAAAACTGCATGTGTGTGTCTCCGTTCCTAAAGATCTCAAACTGTTCTGTACATTCCATAAAGGTTCGTCTGCTCACTTTAAATGTTGTTTAAAGTTATTTTAAGATGAGAAGCTCAGTGTAGTGTTTCCTGTGTGTTTTATGTTCAGATAGATGAGTCAGCTGTCAGACAGGAGCGTGAATGTTTGTGTTTAACTGCCATGTGGGTTTTCATGTATTAGAGCTCGTATTGATCAGAAGTAGGGATGCACGATATTGGATTTTTGGCCGATACCAATATACAGTTTTTTTTCCTAGACCTACTTACAGAGACTACACAGCTTTCTCTGCTGTGGAATTAAAATACATTATTCTGCATGGTTTTGTCAATTTGCCCTTCACTAAATGCAGATGCAGAAAATGATGTAACACTTCAACTTGGATTATATTTAATGTTAAATTTGTTCATGATATTTACTCTCTAACACAATGATAAACACTCAAACAGTGCAAATTTGTAAATATTCACAAATCCAAACTCAACGGCGCGCGTGATGTCATCATTGCGCTGGCACTGCAGGCATCCTTGTCACTGGGTTGTCTTACAAAAACAGCACCTTTATATTATTTATATAAATATATAATAATCATTATTAAATATTTAAATAAATAAATAAATATATAGATATAAACAAACAGCGTCTTTTATATTGGTGAGTTATTTTGATGGAATATTTAACTTTATCACTAATATCGACCGATGCAGATATCATGCGGATAATATCATGCATCCCTAATCAGAAGAGAACAATTGTATTTTATATTCACGCAAATTTACTATGTTTATCTAAATATTACTTATTTTCTCATAAAAGTACTTAAGCAGACTTCCTATTCACTTTAAAATCTTAGTAGTAATTATTTTATACACTTTTACATACATTGAACAATAGGTACTTGTACGGGCCGGTTACCAGTGTCCGTGTATACCATAGTGTTCAAAAGCTACAGAGTCAAAACCACAATGTTTTATTTAGATCATATTTTTCTATTTATTTATTTAAATACTGTAGATAATTCATTTAGTATTAAACTTCAATACCTGTACAGTACGGTAATTATGAAGCAAAATGAGATATTGACAGCAAAAACAATAGTGGTTGCATTTTTGTTTTGAAATAAAATCATATTTTGAGATGCATTGTTAAATTCTAATATTTTCAAACCGTGTTGTTTATGATCAGTTATCTTTGTTAGAATGCATATTTGCCATGATTTTGATTAAAAAGGTAATAGTTTTTGTTTACTGTTTAAATTTTGATTTTTTTTAAATATTATCTACCACATTAGTTTTAGTGTCTCCTGTTGTTGTATCCTTTTGTTGGGGTGGGGGCGTAACCTGCACACATTCAGGACCGCCTGTGTCACATTCAGCAAAGCAGCCCCTGAATAGAAATCAAACTTCCTCCATGCTTCACTGCAGGTGCACGGTTCTTTTCTTTAATTTTGGGTTCTGGTCTCTTTGGTTACCATCCGTATTGTCCGTCTCTTTTATTTACCGTCAGTTGTCCTCTTGTGGACATGTTCAGGGAGGTTGTCTCCAATCCTGTGGACCTTCACCGGTCTTATCGTCTTTTTAACGGGACGTCAATCATTGTCTTTCTCAGCTTCCTGTGGTCCATGCTCAGAATGTTACACACCACAATACCAAACAGCCCTGTGACTACGTGTCACCCTTTAAACAGACAGACTGACTGATTACAGACGGGAGACACCTGTGGTGCTGATTACAGGACAGACTTTAGTTTAATATATCCCTGAGGTCAACTTATTTTCAGTCTTATTATTATTTTTCATATTTTCATTAGTTGATTTTCAGTTTCCTTTTTAGTCAATTTCAGATTATTTCAGTGACTTTTGTGGGTTTTTTCTTTCTTTAACCAAAGGATGAAAACAAATTTATCAACATCTGTAAATGATAAATATTTGTATTTTAAATACTGTTGATTACAACATGATTATTCATTAAGTGAAAATATGCGACCAGCTTTTAAGTTTTTGTTTTTTTCATCCAAGCTGCAGTATCTGATCCGGACACTCAGTGTCAGCGTTTCTTTTTAATGTAGATATCAAGAGCTTAGCTGAGATTTTCAGACGATTGCTTATCTTCTTGTTGAGCTTTACTATAATAATAAAACAGATGATTCTAAAAAGCAATCCAGTAGAGCAACAATTGGTGATAAACATTTCTGTGTGGCGTTTCAAACAATCTGTGCGCCCAATCTGTTGCGTGTTCCTCGCGCTCAGGATTAAACCAGAGGAGTCAGAGCTGCTCAGTGCAGGTGGTACAACTGATAACATTTTAATCTTATTTTCAAGAGGAGGGTGAAAAAGCCAGCAGAGGCAAAACTGTGTTGAAAGAGAAAAGAAAATTGAACTAAAGCCGTGCTTCTGTTCTGGATGTTATCTCTCCTTTTGTCAAGTTTGAACTCAATAACAAGAGAAATTATCCTTGAAGAAGAATTGAGAAATACCTCGTTAGCGGAACCTGCTGTCAGCAAAATACATAGTGTTCTCTGTGCAAGGCTGATTGTGAAGCACACACGGCTGGATGTATGGGAATACAAAGTATAAATACATATTTGTGTGTATTCAACATGATCCAGTGCATTTTAAACATATAAACTTGTGTGAATCCGTTTTTAGTTGAATCATATCACTAAAACCATAAATCACTTAAAGGAAAATATGTAAAAATAAACAAAGTGGTATATTTTAGTACCTGAAATGGCGCAGAGGTAAGAGAAGTTGGGCCTGTGATCAGAAGGTCACTGGTCTGACTCCCCGAAGTGACAACATCGAAATGTGGGTGGAAACGATGAAGCACCCAAACCGGTCTCCACCCTCCTTTGCCCACCCTGTGCCCTTGAGCAAAGCCCTTGACCCCCAGCATCTGCTCCCCTGCGCACCCTGCTAGCTCTCTGCTCCACACAGAGGGCTGTGGCAGCTCAGCGGTCTGCGGTGGTGTCAGGAAGGACATCCGGAGTAAAAACAATTTCCAAGCCTTTGTGTGAATTCGTTTACTGTGACCCCTGAAGAATGGAGCAGCTGACATTAAAATAAATAAACAAATAAACAAAAAATAGTGACCACCCACAGTTTAATGAAACACAAACCAGGTATTTGGGGCCTCCTTTGTCTGAAAATATTTCAAGTGAGCTGTTCCGATTTAAAGTCACACTACAAGCTCAGAACAGAGCTCCAAGTTTTTATTCCCTCTTAATCTCCAACAATCCAGTCAGACCAGGATGCATTTGTGAAAAGACCCGGACATATAAAATACTTTAATGCCAGCGTTTTAAACTGAAGGCATCTTATACTAAGAGTTGGAGCTTCAGGTGTTTTAGTCCAACCTCATCAATGAATTGTCTTATACTTCATCCAAAGTCGAGCCGTTGGCCAGTCAGCTTGTGGTCCTGCGGGGCGTTCATTTTCGCACACACCATTCATTGTCCATGAGACGTACGGTGCAGACTTCCTGGGGGACATCCATTTCAACTCATTTGAGATTTGGGGTTGTAGTTGAGATATTATTTGCGCTTATGAGATGTTAATCAGCAGCTTCCCGGTTGTAGAAAACTGCCTTGTTGCCATGGTTACGCATCATAACAAATGTCCAAAACTAAAAAAAAAGTTTCAGTAAAAATCCTTCCAGCTGCACAGCATCTGACACCAGAGGAAACAATCATAATAATTAAAAAAAAGAAGTGATTTACATCCAGAAAAAGAGGAATTAAAGTTTCCAAAAGCAAAGTCTCATCATGAAAGAGACAGAGCTGCTCCAACATGCAGCCATGTTGAACGATGCAATTCTAGAACTAGATTTGTTGACTTGTATTCATTGTTTACTTTCTGGGAGTTGAATCAAAATCCATCCATGAGTTCTTGAGAAATTTTACTAACAGTACAGTCAAACAGAGCCAAACTCAAACATTATTGGCTAAAGGGAATGATAACCGTTACATACCTCCAAAGAGTTGTCTCTGAAATCCACCTCCTTTTTGATTATTTTTTCTAATTTTGAAGCCACTGCAGTTGTTTAACTTAACCTTTTTAACATCTCATGAAACTGAGAAATTCAAAAGGAAAAAAGAGGCGAACATAAAAGACAGCAAATGTATTTTGCCAAAGTAAAAGAACACATACAATTTTATTTTTCTTGCAATTTTCACGTCAAAGTCTTAAAGTTAAGGAAGCCGTCACCCCCCTCACTTCCTGTTTATTAAAATGACTTGGCAAAAAAAATAAAAGACTGGTCCTTGGTTAGACTTAATGATGTCTCCTCTTTCTTGGATTGACTGTGTCAAATTATTCCTTTTTTTTTTTTTCCAGCACTTAATGGGCTTCAGAGGAAACTGAAAATTCACTCTTGCTATTTATTCCAAGACTAGTGCTCCTCATTCATAACATGCTCATATTTCATAGAAAGCAGGCAGAAAATTAAGAACTCTCTTTTGTTTTTCTCTTCTTGCTTATTTTTTTTTTTACATCTAAGTGCATACAGTCCAGGAAAAAATTGTTTCACTCCTTGAAAGTCACAATTGTGTTTTCAGTGCATTTATAAAGCAAAGACGGTTTTAATCTCAGCAGGATTTTTAACGAGTCAAATCATAATATATTCATGAAGCAGCACCATAAAGTAGTAGCTGTAATATTGACATATTAAATAAAACTGATAAACTAATTTAGGACCTAGCGTTAGCTGATGGAATGCATGTCGCCCGCCACTTTTCATGCCAGAGTATCAGATTAAAATTAATTTATGATTACAAATTACGGAGTTGGAGCTGTTTTTAATCAAACCTTGGTTATAATAATGCACAGTCTCATTAAACATGAGAAGTCCCACTCAGAGTATGACTCTCAGCTACTACCACATCAAGCTAGCTAAATGTTAGTCAAACTCAGCACAGAAAAGAGC